CTTTTCATTTTTTTATTTTTAAAGAAATTTTTAGAATTATTTGATTTTTAAAATTATTATTCTTCAGTTTGGCCAGAGTCAGGGGGTGTGAGAAAGCAAGTCACCAGGTCCAGGACTCGAACTGTGGTTGGCCGTGTGGCTGTCCAGTGTGATGATCACCATGCCACCCGTGGACCCCAAAATGTTTCATTTTTGAACAGTATTACAAAAATTTTGTGAAGATAGTACAGAGGATTCCTATCTACTCCATACCCAGTTTCCCTTTGCATTCACATCTTAACCTTAGTAAGGCACGCTCGTTACAATTCATGAACCAGTGTTGATACATTAGGACTAATAAAGTTCATGCTTTGTTTAGATTTCCAGTTTTTTTCTTAATGTCATTTTTTTGTTAAAAGATACATTACGGTTTAGTAGTCATGTTTGTTTCCTTGGCTCCTCTTGGTTGTGACAGTTTCTTAGACTTTTTATTTAATGACCTTGGCAATTTTGAAGATAAAGTGTTTTTGTAGAGTCTCTTCAGTTGAGACTTGGGTGCTGTTTTCTTATGGTTAGACTCATGTAATGTGCTTTTAGAAGGAAGACCATAGAGTTAAAAGTGTCATCCTCATCATGTATCAGAGGTTTATAAACTGTCAGTATGACTTATCCATGTCGATGTTATTAACCTTAGCACCTGGACTGAGGTACTGATTGTGTCCCTACCGTAAAGTTACACTTTTCCAAACCGCCTTTCCCGCCTTTCTTTTCTTAAACCACTGGGTCCCGGACTCAACCCATGGAATCAACCTTGTGGGATCCAGTCAGTATAACTTCCATGCAGCCTGCTGGCCCTCTCCTCCCTTTTCATAGTATACTTTTAGGAAGAAAGTCACAATGTGTAGCCCACACATTTACATCAATTTTTTTTGCTCGAATTGTTTCAACTTTGGGAACCAGCAGTTAGTGTAATGGCTATGTCACTGGACTCCCACGTAGTCGACTGTGGTTTGTATCCCAGACCCGGTGGCTTAAAACTCACGCCGGGCATGTGTGCGTGCGTGCCCAAGATCCCGAGAGGAGAATGGAGGAGAAGGGATTGCGGTGTGACCATCCCCCTTGGGGGGTGATTTCTCGCTTTTTGTCTCTGTCTCTCTCTGTCTGGCTGGCAAGAGCACGTGCCCTATAGTGAAAAAAACCCCTCCAAAAAAAAAAAAAAAAAAAGAATATGATTAGATTTGGGGGCTAGATGTACTTGTTGACTGGAGTGTTGTTTCCAGGCCCTTTCAGATGACAGAACAAGGAGATCAGTGTGCCTACTAACCTCTTACACACACACCTTACATAGTTCTAAATGTAACATCTGTGTCTACAGTAAGTAGAAACAGAAGTTCATGATGTCTCCAGCTCCAATTCATTACTACATGGATCACTGTGACCTTACCATTGTTATCTGTAACCTCGCACCTCGCCAGTAAAAACCCTGGCAGGCCTGGCAGGTGGTATGGTGGTTAAAGATGTTGGATTCCCACATGGCTGACCGTGGTTGGAGTCTTGGACCTGGCAGCTTTGTTTCTTACTTTCTCTCTCTCTGTCCCTTCCTCTGGTCAGATTAACATAAATAATAATAATAAATAAAGTTAAATAAAATAATTCTTTAAAAAAAAAAAAAAAGCCTGGCATCCCATTGATTGGCCTAATTCTTTAGTTCCAGTGCTTAGTGGTTTCAGAATTGTTAACCTAGGGGCCAGCAGGTAGCATAGTGATTGAGGTGCTGGATTCCCACATGGTTGACTCTGATTCAAGTCCTGGACCTGGCAGCTTGAAAAATCACAATAAGTAGATTAATTAATTAATTAAAAAAGAGAAATGTTAATCTGTATAACTGTGGACGCACTTCATCAACTCGATTACAGTGTGTGTGGATAGTTTGTTTTGGCTTTAGTCTTACAGACTCCAGTCATTTCTAGCACTTTATAGGTCAGCACATTATTCCTCCAACCTCTTCCTTAGATTGTTTTGTATACATATTTGTAATAGATTTAGGTTATTTTGTCATATTCTGCATTCCATGCTGAGATCCCTTTATCTCTTGGTTATTTAAGAATTTGCATACATTAAGATTTATTTGTGTTTTAAAGTTCTCTGGGTTTTGACAGACTTTGATTATATCATTACAGTATATCACACAGATCATTACAGTATCACACAGATTAGTCCTTGCACCTCTAAAACTTGTCTCCCAGGGCCAGCAGTGGTGTGGTGGTTATGTGGCTAGATCCCACGTGGCCAGCTATGCTGTGTGAGTCTTGGACCTGGTAGTTTGAAAACTCCACTGGGTGTATCTGCATGTGTTCAAAGTCCTGAGAGGAGCACAAAGGAGAAGGGATTGAGACCTGGCTGTACCCCATGGGTTAGGGTTAGGTTAGGTTACCCCATGGGGTATGGCTAGGTCTTAGTTTACCCTCTCTGTTTTTCTCTCTCTTGGGCGAGTGCATGTACCCTATAGCAGGTTAAAAAAAGAAATTTGTGCCACCTGTTAACTGCCACCACTCACTATTCTGTTTACTGTCTCTATATATAGTTTGGCCTTTACCAGAATGTGAATGTGTTAGTGTTTTTTTTTTTTTTTTGTAAGAGGTTTTGGCCTTAGGAGATGTGTGCTTACCAGAGAGAGAGAGAGAGAGAGAGAGAGAGAGATCACCCTGCCGATCACCCTGCCCCCCGCCCCCCCCACCACCACCAGGGTGATGGCCAGACCACAATCCCTTCTCCATTTGTCTCCTTGGAGATGCATGCACACTCACCCGGTGTGTTTTTCAGACCGCTGTGTCCAGGTCCCTAATCCTCAGACACAGCTATGTGGGATCTAGCACCTTAACCACCATGCCACCTGCTGACCCAAACTCCACATTTTTATCACCCAAAAAAGAAACCCCCATATCTATTAAGCAGTTCTTTAACTCATCCTCCGGCAGTCACCAATTTGTTTGTGTTCCTATGGATTTTCCTGTTCTGGACTCTTCACTTAAATGGAATCATGATTTATGGCCGTTGTTTCTGGCTCTCTGTACTTAACTCTTTTTATTCATTCATGTCGTAGTGTGTTTCAGTATGTAATTCTGGTTAGCTTCTTTTACTCCGCTATCTAATGTACTTAAGTTCAGCGAGTTGCTGCGCCCCACCACAGGGCTAGGATTCGGCGCTGGATTCGTCCCTGTTCACTCGTGTTACTGAGGGAATCCTGGTTTCTTTCTTTCTGCTTCAGTATGTCATTTCTTTCTTTTTGTAAAATTATTTAATTTTATTTATTATTGTTATTTTTTAATTTGACCAGAGAGAGAAAGAAGGAGAGAGAAAGAAAAAGTGAGAAAGCAAGCCTCCAGGTCCAAGAGTTGAACCGTGGTTGGCCATGTGGGAGTCTAGCGCTTTAACCACCACGCCGCCTGCTGAATTATCGCAGAATAATATTCCATTATGTGGATATACTACATTCTGTGTATTCATTCATCAGTTGATGGACATTTCTGTTGTTTCTATTTTTTGGCTATTACGAATAAGGTTCCTTTGGATATTCTTGTTTAAGTTTTTGTTTGTGTTTTCAGTACTTTACATAACTAGTATTTTATTTTGATAAATTTATCACATAAAATGAAAGGTTACACAGTGGCTTGACTTGTGGTAAAATCCTGAAACATTGCTGCTTTCTTTTTGCATTGTATTAATCACTGAATATTGAAATAATTTTCTTGTTGACTTTATGGCATAAAGAATTTTGGTCCAGATGGGGTAACAGTAGGCAAGCTTCCTCTAGAATTCTGTCAGGAACATCCTGAATTTCGTGTACCATTCAGTATCTCCTTGAGAGTAGTAATTGGTCTCTCACTGTGAAGTTTGGTATAGGCTCTAGTAGTCGTGAGGGTTCTTTGCGTGTATAAATTGCATTTGCCATTATGTCTCCAGAGGCAGACTCCCATTCTGTGATCTGTCTGGCATCAGTGATACTACACAGATTTTATTCCTGCTAACCACATGTCCCCGGAGGTCTGAACTGTAATATAGCCTAATATCATTGTTTTCCTGTTTCCACTGACCCAAAAGCTTTATTTTGCAGCTATTGCTTTGACACCTGTGGTTTGACAAATTCTTTTTCCTCAGGAAGACTTGGCAAAATTTTCTTTTTTGCCAGTTTGGGGCAACCTGACCTGTTCATTGAAAACTTAACATTGTTTTTCAGATTTCTTGAAAGCAAGGAACATTCTTTGCTGTTTTTGTAGTTTCTTTCTAAGTGATTTTGGGATTCTCTGGGGACAATAAAAGATAGATAAATTATATATTAACCACTGTCATCATTTATCTCAAGCAATTTTTCTGTAGACAAGCCCTCCAAATGGGGTTGAAAAACCACTGTCTGCATAATACAAGACTTGGCTGGAACCAAGAAGATTTTAGTTTTAATTTTATTACTTCTCTAAATGGCAGACTGTTAGCAGACAAATAGCTTATGCCTTAGAATTTCTTTTATTTTTTAAAAAATTGATGCTTTCTTATTTGCAGGAAAGTGTCATGGGAACTGAGTTCTATTTAGCCAAGGTACTTCGAGTTTTATGCAAGACAGGCAGTGTTGAAAGATAATGCATATTGTGCAAATTCTTTCTCTGTTTTTGAAATTTACCAGAGGGTACATGTGCTTGCCAAAGAGAAACAGAAAGGGACGGGGAAGCCTCCCGGCCCGGACGTAATCATGTCACAGTTCCATTTCTCCATCTTGTTGGGATTTTGGGCAAGCACACACATATGCCTGGTGTTTTTTTCAAGTCTCAGGGTCAGGGGACTCCAGCTGTGTAGTCAGCCGTGTGGGATCCAGCTGCCTTAACTACCAGGCCATAGGCTGGCCCCTCATGTGATCTTTTAATGTTAACTTGCAAAGTTTGGCAGCCTGAGAACTGATCATTGTTTGTAAGCTCGTCATTTGCATTCAGTAGTATTTCTTTCTCCATTTTTTGTTCCTCTGTGCCAGCAGGTCTTACTCTCTGGAGAAGATTCACCCACAGTTAGCACTTTCTTCAGATGCTGAGACTTGGTGAACAGCTGTGCTTGGTCACAAGATTTAGAAGATACAGTGTCCAACCTCCCAGATTGGATCTCATTTCATGTGGATCTTCTGTTTCTATGTCTCTTTAAAAAAGAACTTTTTGGGAAATATTTTGGATGACAACTGCTTGTCCTCATCTAGGCAAAGAAAGGGAGGCTATTGCTGGGATTTTGAGGAGGTATGTCTTTTTTTCATCTACTTCAAAATTACATCAGTTAAGCATCAAGAGCAGTGTTTTTTGTTTATATTTTGTTTTTAAGGGAGATTTTTACTATAGGGCTCATCAAAGAGACAGGAAGCAAGAAATCACCCCCCAGTGGGAATGGCCACACCACAGTTCCGTCTTCTCCATTCTCTTCTCGGGATCTTGGACATGCATGGATATGCACCGGGCATGAGTTTTAAGCCTCTGGTTCTGCACTCACAGAACCACGCAGTTGACCTCACATGAGTCCAGTGATATAACCATTATACCATCTGCTGGTCCCAGGCATCAAGAACAGTGTAAAATAATAACAGTACTCCTCTCTAGAGCTCAGTTCTTTTTCTTTCCTTTTATCTTTATAAGCCCGAGGGCATGTGCACTTGCTAGAGAGAAAGGGAGAGGCAGAAAGCACCCCCAATGGGACATGGTCACACCGCAGTCTGTTCTCCATTTCTCCTACCTATCGGCATCTGGGGCACATGTGCTTATGCCTTGCATATTTTTTAAATTGCCATCAGTGTTGGGATTTGAATAGCATTGTTGGCCATATGGGATCCGGCTCCCTTAACCACTAGGCCATGGGATGGACCCTAGACCTGCTTTCTTATTCATTCATTTATTTCCTCTTTCTTTCTCCCATTTTCTCCTTTTTTCTTGGAATTACAATAGTTTAGTAAGAGCAGTCCTTTTTTTTTTTTTTTTTAATTGCATGTGCTACCCAGGCAGAAAGACAGAGAGAAGCAGTCACTGGGTCCAGGATTTGAACCATGTTTAACTGTGTGGGATCTAGTTTCCTTAACCACAAGGGCATGAGGTGGCCCTGAACAATAGTTTTTATAGTGCCAAATTTTTTTTGTAAGACAAGCAGCGTTGGAAGAAATGTATATTGTGAAAATTCCTTCTCTATTTTTGAATTTTGCCAGAGGCCACATGTGTTTGCTAGAGAGAGAGGGAGAGAAAGGGAGAGGGAGAAAGCACCCCACCATGGGACATAGTCACGTCATAGTCCTTTTTCCGTTCCTCCATTCTGTTGGGATTTTGGGCATGCACACACATGTACCTGGTGTGCTTGTCAAGCCTTGGGGTCTGAGACTTCAGTCATGTGGTCAGCCATGTGGGATCCAGCTGCCTTTACTAGGTGTTAACTTTTAAAAAAGTACATTTTGGGGGACCAGCAGTTAGTGTAATGGCTAGGTCACTGGACTCCCACGTTGTTTACCGCAGTTTGCGTCCTGGACCAGGTGGCTTAAAACTCACGCAGGGAGTGTGTGTGTGTGTGTGTGTACCCAAGATCCCGAGAGGAGAATGGAGGAGAAGGGATTGTGGCATCGCCCCCAGGGGTGGATGATTTTTCGCTTTCTATCTCTCTGTCTCTCTCTGTCTGTCTGGCGCGCGCACATGCCCTATAGTGAAAAAATCTCTCCAAAAAAAAAAAGTACATTTTTGAATGATATGCCAAGAAAAAAGTCAACTTCTATGGTAAGAAAGCATTTTACGAGATTTGTTGGATAACGTTTTGAAGAAAAATCTTAATTTTTGAATTTTTTATGAATTTAAAAATATTTGTTGAGTGATTACTGTGTTTTGGGTCCAAGGGAAGAAAACTGACAAAAATTTCTGCCTTCATACTGCATATATTATATACATGAGAGAGAAAACAGGATAAATAAATGTAAAAAAGATTTTTTCTTTTCTCTCTTTTTGAATAATTACAGAGTGATAGAGATAGATCTTTTTATTTAATGAATTTATTTGTTACATTTTATCTATTATTATTTTTATTCAATTTGATGAGAGTGAGAAAGGGAGAGCATGATGGCAACCCGTCAGGTCTGGGACTTGAACCATGGTCGACCATGTGGGAGTCTAGTGACATAAACACCACTCTACCGGCTGGCTCTCCAAGATAGATATTTTTAACAGGCCACGATCCTCCCTGCCAGCGTTCTAGATAGCTAGGAGTGCAGGCACACACTGCTGTGCCCGTCATGCTAGACTGGGCTAGGACCCTTGTGGCTTTCATGGGTCCAGTATCACACAGTAGTGTCCTACATGCCGTGTTGAAACTTAGAATGACGGGTTCTAATGGGGAAAGTAAAAGCAGGAACACAGGAATAGGGTGTATTCAAAGAAGGATTGAGCAGTCACAGATGGCCAGAGAAGGTGATGTTTGAGTGAGTAAAGGCTAGAAAGAAGTGAGGGAGTGAGCCATGAAAATATGTAACAAGAACATTCTAGACCTAGTGAGTGGCAAGAGAAAAGGCCTTGAGACAGAAGCTTGCTGGAGAAATAGCAAGGGAAGAGGAGGGAGGGTGTGCACCTCTGCTGCCTGGTCAAAGTGCTTTTCAAGTTTTTACTTCCACATGAATAACCTTGGGGCTTCTTTTTACAACCGAGATTCTGATTTTGTTGGTCGGAGGTGAGGCTCATTTCTGGTGAGCCCCCCAGATGGTGCTGATGCTGCTCATCCTTATAGGACTCTAGCTTTTACACTGAGCGAAACAAAAAATGTTTGGAGGTTTCGGGCAGTGGAGTGACACGATCTGATTTACATTTTGGTATTAATACTCCTCTGGCTGCTGAGTTGATAATAGACTTTTGGTGGGTTA